GAAGGAGGCTAAGGAGGGGCCCGAGGTGGAGTGATTGGGGGATGGAGTTCCAGAGGTTGGGAGCAGAATGGCTGAAGGCGCTCCTGCCAATGGTGGGGTGGGTGGGTCGGGGGACGTGGAGCAGGCCAGAGCCGGCTGAGCGGAGAGAGCGGGCGGGTTGGTAGGGGGTTAGGAGGTCACAGAGATAGGGTGGGACGAGACGATGGAGGGTTTTGTAGGTGAGGACCAGGATTTTGAACTGGATCCTCTGAAGGATAGGGAGCCAATGGAGTCGGGCGAGAATGGGGGAGATGGGGTTAAGGAGTTTGGTGCGGGAGAGGACACGGGCTGCAGAGTTCTGGATTATCTGCAGCCTGTGGAGGGAGGAGTTGGGAAGGCCGACAAGCAGAGCGTTTGCCTGGAGATGATGAAGGCATGAACAAGAGTTTCAGCGGCCTGAGGAGTGAGGTAGTGGCGGAGTCGGGCGATGTTACGGAGGTGAGGGAAGGCAGAGCGGGTCATGGCTTGGATGTGGGGAAGAAGACAGTTGAGGGTCGAACAAGACACCCAGGTTCCTGACTGGGTTGGTGAGTTGAAGTGTGCAACCATGGAGGTTGATGCTGTCAGAGCCTGAGGTGCTGAGGTGCTGGCGCGATCCAATCAGGAGGGCCTCAGTCTTGTTCACATTCAACTATAGGAAGTTTGCCCTCATCCAGGACTTGATGTCCGACAGGCAGTCTGTCAGGACAGCAGTGGTCCTGGAGTTGAGAGTGGAGGCAGAGAGGTAGAGTTGGGTGTCATCCGCATACATGAGGAAGTTGACCCCATGTCTGCGGATGATGTCACCAAGGGGGAGTATGTAGATATTAAAGAGGAGAGGCCCAAGGACAGAGCCCTGGGGGATGCCAGGCATGACAGTGCGGGGGCTGGAGGAGAAACTGTTAGAGGCAACAAAGTGGAGACGGTGAGAGAGATAGGATTCGATCCAGGCAATGGCAGCTCCATGAAGATTGAGTAAAGCGGAGAGGCGATGTATGAGGATGGAGTGGTCAACAGTGTCAAAGGTGGCAGAGAGGTCGAGGAGGACAAGGAGGCAGAGGGAGCCCTGATCACTGATGTTCAGAATGTCATTAGTGACCTTGACCAGGGCTGTTTCCGTGCTGTGGGCAGCGCAGAAGCCGGATTGGAGGGTTTTAAAGAGGGAATGACGAGAGAGAAAGGAGACCTACTTTATGTGTAGCATTGACTGGATTTAATAAAATGTGGTAAACACTGATTTTTTTTTGCAATGATCTGCAATCCAATACAAATACATTTAAATTATTGTTTACCCAGATGGGACCAGTATACACATTAAGGCTTTGCCTTGCAGGGGTCCTGTAGCTTAGCTGTTAGAGCACTCGCCTCATAAGCGAGAGGCCATGGGTTCGATTCCTGGGCAGGGTGAAACACTGGGCAAGTGTCCTTACTCCACAAGCCTCTGTTTACCTAACCGTAAGTAGGACCCAGTTGTTAGACAGGATTGCTTTTCCGAGGATAATAAACCCTTAAAAAAAATTATTTGGTTACTCAGTGCACAAATGTTCGAAGGACATTGCTGTGCGCATTTCTCCCACAAAGTAGTCAATTCATTTTACATTCTGTGAAGAGCTTTGAGACATCTCGAAGACATGATAAGGGGCTATATCAAATGCAAGGGTTATTATTATTTTTAAAAGGAGCCAAGTGGGAAAATCCCTGTTCTCAGTGACCAAGTCCTGTCAATGAGGCAGGCTGGCAGGACTGCCAACAGCAGTGCCGTGGTATACTGCGGATCTGTTTTGGTGTACTCCACACTCATGGAACCTCGGCGTCCTGTTCGACTCTCAACTGTCCTTCATCCACCACATCTGTGCATGACCCACTCTGCCTTTTACCACCTCCATAACATTGCCTGGCTCCGCCACTGTCTCTCACCGCAGGCCGCAAAGCCCCTCATCCACACATTCATCACATTCAGACTTGCAAATTTCCTGCTCGTCGGCCTCCTTAATTCCTCCCCCCACAGGCTGCAGATCATCCAGAATTCTGCAGGCCGTATCTTCTCCCTCACCAGGCTCCACGACCGTATCAACCCACCCTCACCCGGCTCCATTGGCTCCCCAACACTCAGAGGATACAGTTCAAGATCCTGGTCTTCACCTTTAAAGCTCCTCCCTACCTCTGTGTTCTCCTAACCTCCTACTCATGGATTGAGTGACCAAATTATAAATTTTTTGGAGGATTACCCCTGGAAAGCAATGTGCCAGTCAACTAACAACTGGGTTCCTACTTACTGCTAGGCAAACAGAGGCATATGGCGTAAGGAAATTTTTCCAAGGTTTTCACCCTGCTGGGAATCAAGCCCGAGTCCTCTCGCTTGCGAGGCAAGTGCTCTAACCACTACGCTACAGGTCTCCACAAAACACAATCCATTCTTGGGTGGGTAAACTATTCATTGAAAATGACCAATTTATTATTCTTTTGTTTTGGAGGGATTATTATTAGGCATGTGGAGTAAGGAAACTTACCCAAGGTTTCACCCTGCCTGGAATTGAACCCATTGAAAAGGGAGTGCTCTAACCACTGAGCTACAGGACTCCATTACATTGCTTGCTCTGATCTGTAGAGTTAGCCTCCTAGTGTTGTATATAATACATTTCAGACATCCACCTTGTTCTGAGCTAAGTTGTTTTTCTTAGTTTAAATACGAGGAATTGGCGCCAGTAATTGTAATTTTTAAAGTAAATAATAATAATAATCCTTGCATTTGATATAGCACTTTTCACGTCTCCTAAAAGCACTTCACAGAATATACTGTAAAATGTTTAAGGACTAGATTTTATTCTAAAAATTGCAAATGCAAAGGACTATATCATTCATTACATTTTAATGCTCAGGCTTGTCAATGAATGCATTAGTTACCATATTTCAAAACATTGCCTTGTGCTCAGAGCAGATAAATTTAACTCTTCAATACAATGAAGCTCTGGATTTAAGTTTACAGAATTCTACTTAAAATGTGATCGGGTGAATCACGTAATAAGAATTACTTACATAATTATTAGAGGAGATTTTTGCTGGATTTCTTGTATTCAAGCAAAGCAATTTAAGAAAGCGCATTTTGATGTAAAAATTATTCATTCGCATTTGATATAGCATCTTACCACATCTTCAAGATGTCTCAAAGTGCTTCGCGGAATACTGTAAACAACAAAATTACATTTGTTTAACGCCTTTCACATCAGGAGGACGTCCCGAGGCACTGGACAGACAGTGTTTTGGACCTAAGCTGAGGATTGGTATCGGGGAGCGTGGAGGGCAGGGGGGCAACGAGGCTGATTGATGGCACAGTCAAAGGGGAGGGTCTTGAGAAGCGTCTTGAAGGAGGCAAGGAAGGGGGCAAGGCGGAGGGACTGCGGGATGGGGTTTCAGAGGGTGGGGGTAGAGTGGCATGGAGGGCTTTGAAGGTGAGGACAAGGATTTTGAACTGCATCTTGTGTGATGGGAAGCCAGAGGAGTCGGGTGAGGATCGGGGTGATAGGGCCACGGAGCCTGCTGCGGGAGAGGACATGGGCTGCAGAGTTCTGGATGATCTGTAGTCTGTGGAGGGAGGAGCTGGGATGCCGACAAGCAGTGAGTTTGCATAGTCAAGCCTCGATGTTATGAATACGTGTATAAGGGACTCGGCAGCTTCGGTGCGAGACAGTAAATTGGTATATTTTGTGGGTGAGACGTGGCAGACATAAGCAGTGTCCCACATAGGATTGAGTGACCAAATTATTATTTTTATTTATCTAGTAAGGGATTATTACCCACGGAAATGAGATCCGCCAATCTGACTAACAACCAGGTTCCTACTTATTGCTCGGCAAACAGAGGTGGAATAAGGAAACTTGCACAACATTTCGCCCTGCCTGGTAATTGAACCCAGGTCCTCTCGCTTGCGAGACGAGTGCTTTAACCGCTAAGCCCTCTCGGCTCTCTTCCCCCTCCTCGCTCCCTCCCATCCCTCCCCTCACCCTCACCATTTCCCCCCTCCTCGCTCCCTCCCTTCCCTCCCCCCTGACCATTTCCCCCCTCCTCGCTCCCTCCCTTCCCTCCCCTCACCCATTTCCCCCTCCTTGCCCCTTCCCTCCCCCCTGACCATTTCCCCCTCCTCGCTCCCTCCCTCCCCTCCCCTCACCCTGACCATTTCCCCCCTGCTCGGGTCATGACCCAACTGTGCAGCGCCTTGGGACGTCCTCCTGACGTGAAAGGCGCTTTATAAATGGAATCTTGTTGTTGTTGTTGTTGTAGAGTCAGTACATTAGGGGATAGAGTCAGTACAGTGACTATGCAGTTTTGCAACTACACAGTTTCCAGTCAATATATTAGAGTTAGCACAACAGGGGATTGAGTCACTACATTGCGGGTTAGAGTCAGTACATTAAAAGGGAGAGTTAGTTAAATAGGAGATAAGAGTCAGTACATTGGGAGGAAAACTCCCGCCTAATACCCGACACTGAGCCGCACTCCCGCCAACACCGCCCCCCGGGGCTCAGTCAGCCTCAGTTTGGCCGCTCGCCATTGGCCAGAGCTCGCCCCGCCCCCCGGCTCGGCGGCCGCTGATTGGTTGGCGTCGGAAAAGGCGCCAGATTCGGAAAGGATTTGAAGCCGAACCCGCGCCGTCAGCACTGTCAGTGCCGCTGAGGAGCAGAGAGGGAGCAGAGCGACAGGCAGGACAGGCACAGGACAGGCACAGGCAGGACAGGCACAGGACAGGCAGGACAGGCAACTACACTGAACCGCTTCAGGTCTACTCCGCGCCTTTTTAAAAACTACCAGTTTTCTCAAGTGTTTAAGATCCGTTTTCACGGTCTCTGATATATATATATATATATACACTTCAGATCATTTTAATTTTTGCCAGAAAAACAATCCCGACCGGTACTTCCCTGACAGACGTTTGATCGGGGATCGGTATATATTTATTATACATATTTATTTATATATATATATAAATCTATATCTTATCTATAATTGTACTCGAGTCTCTCGCAAGATGCAGTCGCTCCGCTCTCCTCTCTCCACCAAGAATGTGAATGTGATCAGTGCTCAGATGATCAATGTCACCCTCAAAGACAAGGAGAACACGGTAAGAGCGGGAGACTGACCTGGGATTGGGGGGGGGGGAAGGGGTAGAAATAAATCACAAGTAATATCAACCCCTTTATAATCTGTGACCCAGATATAATATAGATAACTATAATCATGTTTTTTTTCCTCTCTCTCTCTCTCTCTCTCTCTCCCCCTCAGCCGCCGTCTGTGAGCAGCACTCGGCTGTTGGCCAGTAAGACCGCCCGGAAGATCTTCCAGGATCCGGAGCCGCCGGTGAGTGGACGGGAGTTCCCGACAACTGCTTCTGAAAACGTGGGGAAAAAAGTCATGTGCCAAGAAATAACTGAAATGAGGTCCTGTCTCCCCCCTCCTCTCCTGTCTCCCCCCCCCTCCTGTCTCCCCCCCCCTCCTGTCTCCCCCCACTCTCCTCCCCCCCCTCCTGTCCCCCCCCTCCTGTCGCCCCCCTTCTCCCCCCGCTCTCCTGTCCCCCTCCTCTCCCCCTCCTGTCCCTCTCTCCCTCTCCTCTCCCCCTCCTGTCCCTCTCTCCCTCTCCTCTCCCCCTCCTGTCCCTCTCTCCTCTCCCCCTCCTGTCCCTCTCCTGTCTCCCCCACTCTCCTGTCTCCCCCCCTCCTGTCTCCCCCTCCTGTCTCCCCCACTCTCCTGTCTCCCCCCCCCCCTGTCGCCCCCTTCTCCCCCACTCTCCCCCCTCCTGTCCCCTCCTCTCCCCCTCCTGTCACCCCCACACTTTTAAGGCGCCACTTTCCTGAGCTGAGAGGCGGTGTTGGATGATGGCGATGTCTCCCACTGTATTGTCCGCTCGAGTTTTTCTTTTTTAAAAAAAAAAACCGGACCATTTGACGTTGTAAAAAGTCGTCCCTTTTTACTCTTAAGTTTCCGCAAAAAAAAATTTAAATAAAAAAAATATAATTTTTTTTTGAGGGGGGGAATGGGGTGGAGTCTAATTAATTGGCGCCAAAATCCAGGCTTTGGCGGTGTGTAACCCTAAACCACCGGTCGTTCTCCCTTTTTCTTTCCCAGTCGAAGGTCGAGGCCGTGAGTCGGTCCCCGGAGGCGGAGGACGAGCCTTTGCTGAGGGAGAACCCGCGGCGCTTCGTGGTCTTTCCCATTCAGTACCACGACATCTGGAGGATGTACAAGAAGGCGGAGGCTTCGTTCTGGACTGCAGAGGAGGTCAGTGAGTGCGGGACCGCACCGCACCGCCTGTGATGCCCTGTGTGTGCGGGGGGGGAGTGGGGGGGGGAGGTGGGTGGGTGGGGTGGGTGTGTGTGTGTGGGGGGGAGGTGGGGTGTGTGTGGGGGTGAGAGCTGATCCCGACCCTCTCTCACTGGTTTCGATAGGTTCTGTTCCCTCTGATGCAGAGACCCGCAGAGCTGCTGCAGTTACAGCCCTCTCACCCCCAGCGGACAAGGAGGGAAATGTTCAGGTCCCTCACCCCCCCCCCCCAGCCACTCACCCCCCCCCCAGCCACTCACCCCCCCCCCCCCAGCCACTCACCCCCCCCCCAGCCACACACCCCCCCCCCAGCCACACACCCCCCCCAGCCACTCACCCCCCCCCCCAGCCACTCACCCCCCCCTCAGCCACTCACCCCCCCCCCCCCCCCTCAGCCACTCACCCCCCCCCCTCAGCCACTCACACCCCCCCCCCTCAGCCACTCACCCCCCCCCTCAGCCACTCACCCCCCCCTCAGCCACTCACCCCCCCCCAGCCACTCACCCCCCCCCCCCCACAGCCACTCACCCCCCCCCCCCCAGCCACTCACCCCCCCCCCAAGCCACTCACCCCTCCGCCCCCCTCAGCCACTCACCCCCCCCCCCCCCTCAGCCACTCACCCCCCCCCTCAGCCACTCACCCCCCCCCCCCCCTCAGCCACTCACCCCCCCCCCCCCTCCAAGCCACTCACCCCCCCCCCCCTCAGCCACTCACCCCCCCCCTCAGCCACTCACCCCCCCCTCAGCCACTCACCCCCCCCCAGCCACTCACCCCCCCCCCAGCCACTCACCCCCCCCCCCCAGCCACTCACCCCCCCCCCCAAACCCCCCCCCCAGCCACTCACCCCCCCCCCCCCCCCAGCAGCCACTCACCCCCCCCCCCCAGCCACTCACCCCCCCCCAGCCACTCACCCCCCCCCCAGCCACTCACCCCCCCCCCTCAGCCACTCACCCCCCCCCCTCAGCCACTCACCCCCCCCCTCAGCCACTCACCCCCCCCCCTCAGCCACTCACCCCCCCCCTCAGCCACTCACCCCCCCCTCAGCCACTCACCCCCCCCCCTCAGCCACTCACCCCCCCCTCAGCCACTCACCCCCCCCTCAGCCACTCACCCCCCCCCTCAGCCACTCACCCCCCTCACCCCCCTCAGCCACTCACCCCCCCCCTCAGCCACTCACCCCCCCCCCTCAGCCACTCACCCCCCCCCTCAGCCACTCACACCCCCCCCCTCAGCCACTCACCCCCCCTCAGCCACTCACCCCCCCTCAGCCACTCAACCCCCCCCCCCCCCTCAGCCACTCACCCCCCCCCTCAGCCACTCACCCCCCCCCTCAGCCACTCACCCCCCCCCCCTCAGCCACTCACCCCCCCCCCCTCAGCCACTCACCGCCCCCCCTCAGCCACTCACCCCCCCCCTCAGCCACTCACCCCCCCCCCCTCAGCCACTCACCCCCCCCCCCCCCCTCAGCCACTCACCCCCCCCCCCCCTCAGCCACTCACCCCCCCCCCCCCCCTCAGCCACTCACCCCCCCCCCTCAGCCACTCACCCCCCCCCCTCAGCCACTCACCCCCCCCCCTCAGCCACTCACCCCCCCCCCTCAGCCACTCACCCCCCCCCCCTCAGCCACTCACCCCCCCCCCCCCCAGCCACTCACCCCCCCCCCCAGCCACTCACCCCCCCCCCCCAGCCACTCACCCCCCCCCTCAGCCACTCACCCCCCCCCAGCCACTCACCCCCCCCTCAGCCACTCACCCCCCCCCCTCAGCCACTCACCCCCCCCTCAGCCACTCACCCCCCCCCTCAGCCACTCACCCCCCCCCTCAGCCACTCACCCCCCCCCAGCCACTCACCCCCCCCCCAGCCACTCACCCCCCCCCAGCCACTCACCCCCCCCCCTCAGCCACTCACCCCCCCCCCCTCAGCCACTCACCCCCCCCCCTCAGCCACTCACCCCCCCCCTCAGCCACTCACCCCCCCCCCTCAGCCACTCACCCCCTCACCACTCCCCCCCCCCCCCTCAGCCACTCACCCCCCCCCTCAGCCACTCCCCCCCCTCAGCCACCGCCCCCCCCTCAGCCACTCGCCCCCCCCCTCAGCCACTCGCCCCCCCCCTCAGCCACTCGCCCCCCCCCTCAGCCACTCGCCCCCCCCCCCCCCCCCCCCTCAGCCACTCGCCCCCCCCCCTCAGCCACTCACACCCCCCCTCAGCCACTCACTCACTTATATCGGCCAAGCAGACCCACGCTGTGCCACTGGGGGGCGCTAACTGCTGCTTTGTTCCTCTACCACGTCTCTCCTAACTCGAGCTCCCCCTTGGATCTCAGCGTTAAATGAATGATCTTTTGCCCCAAATGATTATTGCAGTTTGTTGCAACGGTCCTCTTGGCTTCAGTGCAGGAGATAAGTGCATTCCTCACTGGTTTCCCCTTATTCCATCGCCACAGCGTCATTCACAGCTCTGCAGCCCCCCCCCCACCCCCAATGTCTCCCTTTGGATTGATTTAAGATTTTCATCTTCACCTATAAATCGACACACGACCCTAACTCTGATCTTCTGCTCAACTCCCTCCCCTGGACAAATGTGGGTCTGTGGTGGGTCCTCCACACCGTCGGTGGCTGAACGTTCAGCAACTGAGCCCCACCATCTGCAACTCCTTTCCATTACCCCTCCGTCATACTTTTATGGTCACCTCCCATGTTTGGTGTCTCACACTGATGTTATTCTATATAAATGGAAGTTGGGATGCGATAAAACAGGTCAGGGTTAATGGGAAAAAAAGGGGAGTGAGAGGTAGTAGTGGAGAATGAAGAGCGTAGAAAGAAGATGTCTGTAATATAAATTGTGTAACATCTACTTTGTCCTGTAGTTTAATGGTTTCCTGTGTTCAATGCTTGTTTTGCAGGTTGACCTTTCGAAGGATATCCAGCATTGGAATTCTCTTAAGTCAGAGGAAAAGTACTTCATTTCTCAAGTCTTGGCATTCTTTGCAGCAAGTGATGGCATTGTCAACGAGAACTTGGTAAGAACATTTGGTCTTAAAAATGTGACGGAAAAGGAATTACCTGATTCTAATTTGTCGAGTTAACTTTACACTGTATTCTGTGAAGCGTTTTGAGACGTCTCGAAGAAGTGCTATATCGAATGCAAGGATTATTATTAATTGGTTCTTTGTTGTCAACAGGTGGAACGCTTCAGTCAAGAAGTTCAAATCACCGAGGCTCGCTGTTTCTATGGTTTCCAAATTGCTATGGAGAATATTCACTCTGAGATGTATAGTCTTCTTATTGATACTTACATCAAGGATCCCAGGGAGAGGTAACCGCACAATTTCAATAGTCAAGAGTTTATACAACAACGTGTAGAAACTTGTTGTTTATACAGCATAACATTCAAAACTATTTGTTCATTATTTGTAAACTTACAATTCTGTTGCCTTCCAGGGAACATCTGTTCAATGCAATTGAAACCTTGCCTTGTGTGAAAAGGAAGGCTGACTGGGCTCTGCGCTGGATTGGGGACCGTCAAGCAACATTTGGTAAGTACCTGGAGCTCTTACTGTAATATCCTGTAATTCAGAGAAATTTAGAGGCCGGGTATGTGGGGAAGAGAGGCGAGAGATGATTTTAATACAAATTAATACAATGTCACAAAGTATCTAACCTATATCAGTTGTTCGGAGGGGTTAAGTATTGGGTGCTTGGAGTCTTGCGAATGAGTTGGCATATTGAGCCTACTTGTGGCATTGTGTGTGGGTGTGGACAATTGTGCATTGAACATTTATTGTTTTAACAGGGGAGCGAATTGTGGCTTTTGCTGCTGTAGAAGGAATCTTTTTCTCTGGATCATTCGCTGCTATTTTCTGGTTGAAGAAGCGAGGTCTGATGCCTGGCTTGACCTTCTCTAATGAACTGATCAGCAGAGATGAGGTACGTTGACTTACAGTATGCCTGCACATTTGCCTCTGATTTTAATTTGAATGTTTGCCTACACCATAGTCATTCTATCTGCCAGAAATTTGTGAATCTTAAGTCATTCTCAACACTATAGATGCTGTGTCAAAAGCAAAGATTATTAATAATATTGTTTTTCTCCCCAATCCTCCTTAATTGTTCCTATTATGGTGGGATTTGCCCCTTCCCCCCCAACCTTGGCACAAGTTTCCATTTTTAATAGTCTTGAATGCTCTTTGTTTCACACAAACCTATTCTCTCTGTGCTTTTACTTTACTCTTTCAACTTAAAAGGACAAATACACAGTACTTCACTGGCAACGCTGCATTTTGCTGGTGTTGGGTGATTTCACTAAGTCCATTGCTAATCAAATAGGTGACCATTTCCTTTGTGATGACCCCAGTGCCTACAACAGGAGGTGACAGCCATGTACTATATTATAATGAGGTCACTGACTTATCACATCTATCTATATATCCACAGAACCCCATTCACTGCTCACAGACAGACAGCTCCTGTGATAAATGGCTAACCAGCAATTGCAGCCATATGTCGCCATGCAAATTGATTTTAATTTCCTGTTTTTCTTTCCCACTTTCAGGGACTACACTGCGACTTTGCTTGTCTGATGTTCAAGCATTTGGTAAATAAACCTACAGAGGAATGTGTCAGGAGCATCATCCAGGACGCTGTCAAAATTGAACAGGTAATTTGAGCTTTACCAAAGAAGGATACACTAGTTTTATCATGAGATTTTATTAGACTGAGCTGATTGGGACAAATAACTGCCTGTTCCTATTTCCTATGTGTTCTCTGAAGGGCTGCGTTGCACTTGCCTTTGGCCTTATTGTAAGACAGTTCAAGCAAAGTTGTGTTCAAAAAAGTTTTTTTTATATATGGTAGTCTTCACATGTCAGTGATTGTCATTAGAAATCTCTTGATGTGGTTTCATAGATCCATGTGATTGGGGTTCCAGTTTGATAACAGTACAGCAACAAATAAGTATTTGTGTTTCTTCACAGGAGTTTTTGACAGTGGCTTTACCAGTGAATTTGATCGGAATGAACTGTACTTTAATGAAACGGTACATTGAGTTTGTAGCTGACAGATTGATGCTGGAGCTGGGTTTCAGTAAGGTATGTTGTAACAGAATTGTCATAATAAAATGCTGCATAGCCTTATACCAGGTCTCACAGTCTGTTCAGTAAATGTTAAAGATCACATGCCACTATTTTAAGAGCAGTGCGTTTTACTTAATATCCTGACCCACACTCACTTTGTAGCTGTCTGTGGGTCATTGAAAACAATTTTCAAAGAAACTTTTGACTGAAACGCACTTCAGGACTTCATTATTATGTGATGCAATAAATGTTTTTTTCTCTTCCCCCTCCCCCCACCTCCAACATACAGATCTTTCAGGTTGAGAATCCGTTTGACTTTATGGAGAACATTTCTTTAGAAGGCAAAACAAACTTTTTTGAGAAGCGTGTTGGAGAGTACCAGAGGATGGGTGTCATGGCTAGCTCCACTGATAAATCCTTCGTACTGGATGCAGACTTCTAAAAGCACTTGAGACTGATGTTAATATTATTTGATCATGAAAGATGTAGTATTCACCAGATGCCAGTCTGAAGGACTGAAGCTGAGCAATAGTTGAGCTGCCAAGAGACCACTAATGCAACTTGAGATATTTGAATCAAAGCTGGACTACATTTTCAGAACTTGTTGAGTTTTGCACATTTTTGGGGTTTGATGAATGCGGTGCATCTAAACAATTCAACTGTTTACATGTACCATTTGTTTCCTTGAGCAGATGTTTTTTGTGATAGTTTTACTAGCTATGATTTTGCAACGGAGCTGAAGTGACTTCAATACTTTTTTTTCTTGTATAGTAGTAGTCGTTTAATTCTTTTAAAAAATAGAGTAAACTCCTGAGAACATGTCACTGGAAGGGAAAAGGGCCCGGTGATGAATTATCCTAAATGGTGAGTTAGGTGTTGTGTAAATACATAAATAAATGTGGCTGGGAGATTGTCCGCATGATGGCTTAAAAGTCGTGACAAGTTGAACCAGGCTCAAGTTATCGGGAGTTCACTTGATTTTAACCTGCACTTTCTGAATAAAATTCAATGTTCCAAAATTGTGTCTGCTTCTTAAGTTTTAATAGTTACCTTCTTGGTTACCTGCAATAACAAAGGAATTGTTGCCGTTCAAACAAGAACCTGTGCAACGTTTTTTGACTTCGATCTGATGAGCTGGATGGAGTGACTGTTCTACAACTAAGGCTTTGGTAAATGCACACTAAGATTATATTTGTGGTGTTTAATGTTTTCTAAGATTTTAATCTTTGTATATGTTTAGAACGTAATCTACCCATAGTATTGGTTGAGGTCAGCTTCTGATTAAAGGGATACAGCCTCAAGACCTGCCTATCTCGAGGCTGAAAAACGAGCAGGTGTGGAAGGCTGTCCAGAAGTCGTCCATTATCCCTCTCTCTGCAAAGCAGCCTGTGAAGGTGCTATCTCTGTGACAAGGGGGGGATGGAGTTAGAAACGCATAAAAGAAAGATGTAAGTTTGAAATGGACCCTCTGCACAACTCCAAATAGTTGGAGTTGTGTGGAGAGTCGGTGCACTTTCCAGTGAAATCAATATTGATTCTACTGTGGCTAGAGTCTTAAGTTTTAAGAAGATTAATGAGGTTAATAAGGAGGTGTTTCTCCAGTCGGAGTGTGGTGTTATCGCGGGTAATATACATTTCAATTGTGATGCTGGATGAAACTGATGTGATAATATAATATCAACGTTAATTCATGCTGTGACTGTTGGCCGTCCCCAAATATCCAGCCAAAGGGCTGCAGCTTCCACCACAGAGACCTGGGAAACTCATTGCAGTCCAGGGAGACCTTGGCTTTAGTTCCCTGCTGTATTTTGGAGTATTTCTTTTAACTGTTGTCCGATTTCTTTTAAAAGCGAGATTTTTTTCAACAAATTCCCCCAGAATTTCCTAAGCTATTTTATTACTTTTTTTCCTGTGATCATTTTTTTTAACTAGCCATGGCTGCTTCAGGTAATGTCTTTATTTAAGTCATCCCAATCGTCCGAGTTTTGTGCTGCCAACGATAGCTGCAAAAACTCGAGGAGAGAACACCAGCGTTTTCATCTCTGACTCCTTACAAGGATCAAGCAGACTTAACTGAGTGCCTTCAGATGAGCAATGAATCATCTCTGTCCTGTCAGGGGGCATATCAGTGAGGCATTAGGACCTGTACGTTGCTCAATCAATTAGCTCATTGCTTTTAACTCCTTCCATACCCGTTCAAATTCACAAATAACCATTTGTCCCAACCTTAAAATAAGCTGTTGAATGTCTCACTGCAGACTTGGCATATGTGATTAAAAAGTTTAGGAACAAAGAAGACGGGACCGGTTGAGTTCAACTTCTGATTAAAAGGCTACAGCCTCAACACCTGCCTATCTCAAGGCTGAAAAACAAGCAGGTGTGAAAAGCTGCTTTTCCATATCGCTCCATAAAGGTTGTCCATATCTCTCTCCGCAAAACAGTGGGGGCTATCTCTGTGACAAGGGAAGGTGGAGTTAGAAACGCCTAAAAGTAAGCTGTAACTTTGGATTAGTTGTAGTTGTGTAGAGAATCGGTGCTCTTCCCACTGGAATCGATATAGATTCTACCGTATCTATAAGTCTCAGTTTTAAGAAGAGTGGTGAGGTCAGTAAGGAAGGCTTTCTCCAGTCGGAGTGTGGTGTTATCCCTGTAATATACATTTCAATTGTTGTGTGGATAAGACTGCATGTTGATGTGATAATATATCAATATTAATGCAGAGGCTCTTGCTGCTTGTGCGTGAGTAAAGGCCTTTTCTTTGAATCTTTGTGTCAACTCGTGTTGAGTAAACTGTCGATTCAGCAAACCTAATAACACTGAGGTCCAAACTTATTTTAGAATCTGAATTATCCATTTTCCTATAGGAACATGACTGTTATTTCTATCAAAGCTGATTTCACTGGAATTGCCTTGGGTAAGTGGCAAGCATACGACTCTGGTTCTTGCTTGTGTGTGTGTGTGTGTGTATATATATACATATAAAACAGTCCTTGTGGAGCTGTTAACATCAGGAGGATATCCCAAATGCTTCACACGAATTACTGTAAAGTGGTGTGTGCTGTGGGTAACCGCGGCAGCCTATTTTGCATACAGCAACGTCCCACATTGAGCGTGATAATGGATTGCTGTCTGTGTCAGGTACCCGTCTGACCAAAGAAAAAGGCTTCAAGATGGTCATTACTGTGAATTGCTGCCACCTTGTGGATACTATATTTGAAGAGGATGCGGAACATTTTTGATAAGGAAATGTGTCCTGAGGTTTTAACCTATATTTATATATAACAGTGTCAAATTTGTGAAAATTGTTGAGCGAGGAATGGAGTGAAGTATTACAATGTGTCCATAAATATCTTGTGTTACTGTTCAATGCCATCCAGATCAATGTCGTGACTTCTGTGTATTACATCATGTCTGTTATAGGTGGGATTTTCCCCAACACTTCCCCCATAATACTGACTGCCTATGTACTCATATGTAAATACTCAGGGAAAAACCGGCAGCTGTGAACTACAAAGAATGAAAGCCAGCAGTGAGTTTGACATTTATCCAATCTAAGTATCCTACTGAGAAGCTTAATTTTAAGTTTAAAATTAATTAGTGACACGAAAGTCAACATGACTTTACAAAAAGGAAGTCATGCTTGACTAACCTTTTAAAATTTTTTGAGGATGTATCCAGCAGGTTGGATAAGGGGGAACCAGTAGATGTGGTATATTTGGATTTTAGGAAGGCATTTGACAAGGTGCCACACAAAAGGCTGTTACTCAAGATCAAGGCCCACGGGATTAATGGGAAAATATTAACATGGATAGAAGAGTGGCTATCGGGTAGAAAGCAGAGAGTAGTGATAAACGGATCATTCTCGAATTGGCAGGATGTAACTAGTGGAGTGCCACAAGGATCAGTGCTTGGGCCTCAGCTATTTACCATTTACATCAATGATCTGGACGAGGACATTGAATGTAATGTGTCTAAATTCGCCGATGATACTAAACTAGGTAGCAGAGTGAGCTCTCAGGATGATGCAAAAAGATTGCAACAAGATATAGATAGGCTCGGGGAGTGGGCAAGTAGGTGGCAGATGGAATTCAATGTTAGCAAGTGTGAAATTATTCACCTAGGTAGCAAGAATAAAAGAACAGATTATTTTCTGGAAGGGGAGAAGTTAGATAGAGTTAGTATTCAAAGGGATTTGGGTGTCCTTGTACACCAGTCCCAAAAAGTTAGTTTGCAGGTGCAGCAAGCAACTAAGAAGGCGAACGGCATGTTAGCGTTCATTTCGAAAGGTTTAGAATATAAGAGTAGGGAAGTCTTGCTGCAACTGTATAGGGCTTTGGTGAGACCGCACCTAGAGTATTGTGTGCAGTTTTGGTCTCCTTATTTAAAAAAGGACATACTTGCCCTAGAGGGGGTGCAGCGTAGATTCATTAGGTTAGTTCCTGGGATGAGGGGACTGACCTATGAGGGTAGGCTGAATAAACTAGGGCTATATTCTCTAGAGTACAGAAGAATTAAGGGGATCTTATTATTTAATTATTATTATTATATTATCTTATTGAAGCTTATAAGATTCTTAAAGGGCTGGATAAAGTAGACACAGAGGGACTGTTTCCCCTGGTAGGAGAATCTATAACCAGGGGTCACAATCTGAAAATTAAGGGTCAGCCTCTTAGAACAGAGTTGAGGAAACATTCCTTCACTCAGAGGGTAGTGAACTTATGGAATTCACTACCCCAGAAGGCTGTAGATGCTCAGTCCTTGAACATCTTCAAGGCTGAGACTGATAGATTCTTGAAAAATAGAGGGATTAGGGGATATGGGGATAGGGCAGGTAATTAGAGTTAGGTGAGAAGATCAGCCATGATCTTATTGAATGGCGGAGCAGGCACGAAGGGCCGAATGGCCTAATCCTGCTCCTAATTCTTATGTTCTTATGAAAGATATTGTCAATGTAATTTGTTGTTGTTGTTGTGTGTTGTTCACACCCTACATGGAGTCCTGTAACTTAGTGGTTGAAGCACTCACCTGGGTTTGATTCCCGGCAGGGCAAAATGCTAGGCAAGTTTCCTTACTTCACACTGTTCTGTTTACTTAGCAGTAAGTAGGAACCCGGTTGCTAGTCGATTGGCGGATCGCTTTTCTGGGGATAATAATTCCTTCAAAAAATAATAATGATAAATTGGTCACTTCAATCCACAATTGTTTGTGGGGCACGGCTGTGCGCAATGGGCTGCCGCATTTCCCCCACAAAATATACAGTTTACACTAAATTCTAAAGCGGTTTGAGACGTCTTAAAGACGTGATAAGGCGCTATATCAAATGCAAGGATTATTATTAATGTAAGCAAATCATCTTCCGTTCAACTTTTTGATTGTGACTTCCTGTCAAACTAAAACAAGCTATAACTTCACGGTGGTAAGGTTTCTGTATTGGTTGGGTTTGGTCCAGTAATTGTCTACATTAAATCTTTAACAGTCTCCAGCAGAGGGTGCTCAGTACGTGTAAACTCAGCTGCTTGTGAAGGTGGTTCCTATAGTAACTGGTCCAAGCCTCAACAATTTGTCCTTTTATATTTCAAGAATGCAGAGATCATATTTTCTTCCCAACATTGCTTTATTAGAAGCTGATCCACTTATTGTTTGGTGGTCTGCAAAGGGTTGAAGTATCATGTCAATCTTTGCTTCAAAGGCTGGGATATTACTTGCTACNTTTTTTAATATATTACTGAGATTGTAATTTGTCCAGATGTCCTATCTTGCATTTCTGAGTATTATTGTCTCAGATGAGATTTAAGTCCAGTCTACACTGACGCTCCAGTGCAGTACAACAATAAATTGCACTTATATAGCACTCTCCACGCAGGATAGTGTCTCAGAACGCTTCACAGTGGCGGAGCCTGACTCTGAGCCAAGGGGAGGGGTGGGAAAGAGTAGGCTGGAAGCACAGTCAAAAAGGAAGGTTTTCAGATGGAACTTGAAAAGGGGGAGAGAGGGAACAGGGCGGAGGGATTGAGGGAAT